GAAATCCTCCCTGCCCTCTGAGCCAGCCAAGCGGTTAAACCAGGTGCTAAAAAGCCAGCCGCAAACATCTTTTCAAAGCTCCAGGGTGAGAGAGCAGCTGGGTGGGGGCCTGGCAGCCAGGCAAGGTTCACCCAGTGCAGTTGCTGAAGGTGTTTCTTTGGTAGCGTTAGTTCAGTCAGCCCCTGGCTGTGTCTTGGGGGGCAGATAAAATTCATTGGAAATGAGCCTCCAGGAGGCCAGGTGCTTTGCTACACAAGTCTCATGGACACAGTCCTGCGCCTGGGAAGAGTGGAAAAGAAACCCTCAGCAACCGCAATGTGCCAGCCACAGCTGTGACCAGGCACGTTACAGCCCCGATCAGGTTTTTATTCACCCGACTGCTGTGGCTCAGGAGAGAGGTGGGAGCTGTGCTGGCGGACGAACAGCCCTTCGCTGGCAGCACATGGGGAAGCCCAGCAGCTGCTGGCTATGGGCTGCGGAAGGTGCCTGGGCTGTGGCTCGAGAGGACATGTCACCATTTGGCCCTGTGTCATAAAGGGGCAGTGATGTGGCACTCGCCCGGTGATTGTGACCTCATCAGGACAGGGCATGTAATCCTGAGAAGCGGGCCAGTGGGGCTGAGCTGGCCTTTGGGATAGCTTGGCTCATTCTTTGGCTACTTGTGTGACTACTTTTTTACAAACATTTATCGTCTGGGCTCGAGAGGACATGTCACCATTTGGCCCTGTGTCATAAAGGGGCAGTGATGTGGCACTCGCCCGGTGATTGTGACCTCATCAGGACAGGGCATGTAATCCTGAGAAGCGGGCCAGTGGGGCTGAGCTGGCCTTTGGGATAGCTTGGCTCATTCTTTGGCTACTTGTGTGACTACTTTTTTACAAACATTTATCGTCTGCTGCCCACTTCTCCTCACCTTCCATCCTCTTGGAAAGGTAATTATGATTTGACTTTCAGGACAGGTCACAGAGTAGGGCAGGTATGGGATAAAAGTACCGGCTGGTCTCTGCCTTTGGAGCTGTAGGCTGAGCTGTTCCACATCTATAGGCTGGCCAGGGCTGGGGGTAGAGTTCCTATTTGCTCATTCTTATTTCTTTACCATATCCTAGGATAGGTAAGCAGGGGATGGCAGTGTAGTCTGAGGTGTTGAGCTCAGCCTAGAATGACAAGAAGCCCACCTTGACTGATGCGGTAGAAAGAGGGACAGAAAAAGAGCACGGCAAAGGCAGCAGGCTTGGCCTTTGTGAATGCCCAAAGGCAGCGGACGGGGCTGGGGCGCCCCACCCCAATGCTGATGTGCTGACCACCTAGAGCAAATTCTGGGATGTTTCCTGAGAGCAGCCAGGCTTACCCAGGTGTTTCCCATTAGACAGAGGAAAATGTGTTTTGTCACGCCTCTGCCACTATGTACAAGACCTGGAAAGATGACATTGCTCGTAGAAAAATCTGACATCAGTAGGCTTACCTTCTATGCTAGGCACTTAGTTTTCATCAAGTTATAATCAGGAAAAGGGAAGACTTGACCTGATAATCCAGTTCAAGACTCTGCAGGGAAAGGAAGGTAGCCTGAGGCACAGAAATCATAGTATGGGTTTGTTGGACTTCTGGCGAAATAAGCAGGGGAACAGACTATTTTCCTAAACTGTTCCTTGACCTATAAGTGTTGATGGCAGCGTTAGGCTTCCCCCGATGTTTCTAGGCTGAGGTTAGAGTGGGTTGTCCTGGGTGCTGCTGTACAGAACTCGACTTTAAACATGCTTTCATGCACCAATATCGTTTCATCTCTTTTCAAAAGTCATTTCCCAGCAGTCATTGCCGAGGGAATGGCTCTGCCACAAAGGATCCTCTTTCTGCTGGAGAAGATCTGCATGGCCTGGCAGCAAAGACGGCCAGCTGGAGCGGGACTCTACAACCTGTACAACACGTGCTTTCTCAACTCCATCCTGCAGTGCCTGACATACACCCCACCTCTGGCCAACTACCTGCTCTCTCGTGAGCACAGCCAGACCTGTGAGTACTTTTGTGAACATCTCCTTGTAAACCTTGGGCACTTCCCAAGGATTCCCAGCATCTGGAATTTGATTTAGGAGAAAAGCAGCCCTTCTTTGTCAGCCCCGAGCTGGTGTTCTTTGAACACTCAAGCCTAGAAACCTCTTGTCCTATCGAGGTGTGCTCATCTTCAGAAAGTCCCTATTCCTGCAAGTTAAACTCACGTTGCTGGTTGCACAGAAAACTTTTGTTAATTTATCATCCCTCTGGAGAAAGTTTTCTATGCACTAACGTGTCCCAGACTTTTTGGGACATTAGCACCTTGGGAGGAGTGGGGACTCTTCTTATGACTGCAGTGTCTCCATTAGGTTTCCCGTTCCAATGGGTATTTTGCTAACCTGATAAGCTTGCTTCCCTCCCTCCTTCTTCAGGTTGTCAGCAAGGCTTCTGCATGATGTGCGTACTGGAAGCACACGTTAACGAGGCCCTGAATTCTTCAGGCACTGCCATATGGCCTACCGCTGTCCTCAGTGCCCTCAGGTGTAAGTCATTTCAGGTGCTTTGACATGTTTTCTTCCCTTCTCATAGGAGAGAAGTACTAACTTCCTTCTTTCTTAGGGATAGGAGCACATTTCCAGCTTGGCAGGCAGGAAGATGCTCACGAGTTCTTACGCTGCACTGTTGATGCCATCTCTTACGAAGCACCTACCGTCGTCCATCAAATTTTTGGGGGCGAGCTGCGATCCAGAGGTACTTTTTACAACTTTTTACTGTCCTTAGAAATATCTGTGACTCTTTCTCTCTTTGTCGTAAAAGGCCTCTAGGATGCGGCAGGATGTCTGGTGTGTCTAAAGCAGGATGTGTTGGTCATTGACATGGGCAGCGTGAGTCTCCTTCCCAACCTCAGGAGTGTTTCTCTTTGCCTTCCAGTGACATGCTTCAGCTGCAAAGCCGTTTCCGACACTTACGAGCCATTTCTTGATATTCTTTTGGATATCAAGGTAAGGTGATTTGAAATTGTGGTGCAGAGTGTTTCCAGCCCCTGCAGGGGGGCTAATTTATCTCCAGGAAACTCCGCTCACTTTAACCACACAAGAGCTTGGTGGTGGATGGGAAGGGAACTGGGCTTCTGTGCTCCTGTAAATGGCCTCCCTGTGCTGGGAGCTGGGTGTCAGCTGGGCAGAGAGTCAGGATGGCATCTATGGCCACGGTGACACTGTCACACCACCCTGCTTTGGACCACCTCAACATGCCTCTGATTGCTGGACGGATGGGTTTGACCATGTGTCCAACAGGCAACTCTGGAACTGCCCAGGGGTAGCTGTTTATTGGGATAACGCTGGGACCACACGGGGAGCTATTTCTTGGGATTTTGAGTTTCCAGGAGCTTAGTGCTCTCCTTTCTTTCTCATCCAGGCAGGCTCATCTGTCACTGGAGCTCTGGAAGACTTTGTCAGACCTGAGCAGCTGGATGGCAAAAATGGCTATAGATGTAGCAAGTAAGATTAGGACTAATGACATCTTCATAGTGGACACTAGGCTCCGGTATTGCATGTCTGGGAGCACTCGTTATGTTTGGACTTCATTGAGAAACCCAGTCATCAGACAGCTTGGGCTTTTTTCTTTTTTTTTCCTTCCCCCTACCACCCGAATCATCCCCAACTTGGAAAATAACGCATTTGTTTCTAAGACAGGCACTGTTTTTCCCTTCTGCCTGAATATTTGGGAAGCTTTGACGAGAATTTTACTCCTGGCATTGTTGGCCCTGGAGCTGGTCAACTTTCCTAGCTATGAGTTGCCCCCTGAACTACCCCTATGGCCAAAAGGGAAAAGACACGGCCCATAGGCAGTGGTGAGCCAAGGAAAGAGGAGCTCTGGACGCCTTTGGCAACAGCAGCTTCCTTGAGAAAGCAGTCAACAGTTTCATTTCCAAGGCTTTTGGATGCTTGCATCTCCATCCAGGAGATCTCAGTCCTCGGGGCAGCAGCAGGCCCTACTGGCTCTCTGAACAGTGTCCTGCCCAGTTCTTGTGGTGTCAAGACTGCAGACTGCTGCTCTCCACAGTGACCACCCCGGACCGAAGCCACCTTCAGTGACAGCGCAGGGACTGAAGGGCTCTGAAATGCAAACACGTGCACACGACAGCTGGGCAAAGCAAGCCTTAACTCAACCCCACGTGGATGAGGGGCAGAGCAGGGAGGAGACCAGCTGCCACAGTTGGGTCTGTGCTTGTTTTCAAGGTGTGGAGAGCTGGCCACTGCATCCAAGAGGCTTACAATATATCGCTCCTCCAATGTCCTGACAGTGTGCTTGAAGAGATTCGATGCTTTCTCTGGCACAAAGATTAACAAGGTTGGTATACAAGTGCACTGCCACTTGGTCTGAGAATCCTTTTTTTGTAAGTTGTTCATGTCTGCACATGACG